TTAAGAGCAGAAAGTTTCCCTGTACTCTTTTGGGACTGTGATTGTGAAGTGGTCCGTATAATGGCAGCTGTTAAAACCAAGGTATCTATTTTCCTTCTGGGGGGTGGTGAAAGAAGCATGTATAAAGCGTTCTTAAGTGAAAATGTCTACACTGGAGTTCCTTTCTCTAGCCCTGTTACAGTGTTTGATCCCCAATCCCCTACAGGTCTGTGGGTGGTTGCTCAGGAAGTCGGGAACACTCAGCCACAGCTGTCCCTTCACACACTCCTCGGGAACCCTGTAGGCCTGAGTTCCTCCGAGAGAGCTAATTGCTACTTGTGGAGACAGCCAGCCTCACTTCACAGTAATTTGTCGGTGTGTGGTTAATCGCTTCCATCGAAGAGAAGGGGAAGGCTGATTTGGAACATTCTGGACAAAAGAGACACTAGAGAAGCCTTTGAGACAATGGCAGGTCATAGACAAGAGCAAGGACTCTGGCACTGCCAGAGACTGAGTGACTTGGGAAGACAGGACGCTACTACTCTTCAATGATGGGGCAATTTCTTCTGTCTGGGAAAAATCAGAAGTGGCCATCTTTGGAAGCAGGCATAGCTCAAGGTTTCTTTAGTTTTCAGAGGTGCAAAGAATTAAACCTAGGGACTGGCAGGTGGCGTGGTGGTTAAAGGCGCTGGACTCCTATGTGGCCGACCATGTTTAGAGTCCCAGACCTGACAGCTTGCTTTTTCACTCCCACCCCCCGCCCTCAAATTGGAGAATAATAATAATAATAAATAAATAAATTTTTAAACAATTAAACTTAATTTGTTGTTTTTTCTTTGAAGTTCTCTCTTCTTTTAATTCTTCTCATAAAAACTTTCCTTTTTTATCCTCCCTAGCTACTTTGATTCCTCCAAAGAGGAATAATTTCTTCTGAAATTGTTTCAGGCAGCTGTGAATGATTCTCTCAAACCATCCTGGGCTTCAGGGAAGAAATGGGTCCAGGGTGCAATCAGAAACATGTGACCAAGATAGGGCTGGCCAGGACTCAGTCTCTGACAGAAGCTATCTCACTGGTCTGAGGCTTTTGACCCTATTCTTTCGGATACAAGGCAGGTGTGGGAAGAGGTTACCACCACCGCCCTCCTTTCCAGGCACCTCTTCAGGAGGGAGAAATAACACAACTCCCACTGCCTATCTTCAAACAGAGGTTCTGAATACTCATTCTTTCAACAAATCACTAACTCAGTTATTTCCATTTTATATGAATTCTCTCTGCTGTTCCTCTTCTTATTTCCTCTTCTTTATTTCAGAAAATGACATCTCCCTCCGTCCGTTATCATCCCAGGGTCTTTGCCTCCCTTATTTGCTCCAATTCTACCAATTAGCTCCTTGATATTTTAAAAATCTCTTCTCCAAATGTGACTCAACCCTTCATCGGCTCTACCTTGGACTAAAACAATCTGATCAGACTTGCTACCAGGAAAAAAAAAATTAAAATTAAATTGCATTACCTGAAATGCAAATCTAATTATTATATTCTTTCTGTGCCTAAAATCCTTCTCAGGCCATTGGATAAACTTCAGAAATCCCAGAATGACCTACAAGGCCTTCCACAGACTGGTCTCCAGCACCCTTACCTAGTCCCCAAAGCCTGGGTACTCTGTTACAGTGAACTGTCTACAGCTTCCCAAAATACCACACAGGCCACTCCTGCTGTCAAGAGGACAAGGGAAGAGGGAAATCCTGCTCCCTGTGGGCACACCTTGGAACATCTCATTGTGCCATGCACACGGACCTGGAGTCAGGATCCACAGCAAAGCACAGGGAACTGGCTAATGTCTGGCTGTGTGATAGGGTCTGGCAAGGAACACAGCTGGACCATTGGGATGAAGAGATTTGGAAAATGGCATGAAGTTAGGGGTCAAAATGAAAGCAGAACCTGAAAAAGTTCATGTTCGGGGACTAGCAGTTAGCGTAATGGCTATGTTGCTGGACTCCCACGTAGTCGACCACAGTTCGCGTCCGGACCCAGTGGCTTAAAACTCACACCGGGCGCGTGTGTGTACGTGCCCAAGATCCCGAGAGGAGAAAGGAGGAGAAGTGATTGTGGCGTGGCCATCCACCCTGGGGGGTGATTTCTCGCTTTCTGTCTCTCTCTGTCTGTCTGGCGAGCACACGCACCCTATAGCAAAAAGAAAAACCTCTCAAAAAAAAAAAAAAAAGTTCTAGTTCCAGATAAATGCCCTTCAGAAGTCCCCACCCTTCACAGCAAAAGAGAATCCTTTAAACTAGGTGGCAGGAGGGGCTGCTCTACAGATGCCTAGGCACTCGTGTCCTCCAGGCAGCCTGATACTTGCTCAGAGACTAAAGACACACTGGCCAGGTGCCAGGGGAAAAGGTGTCACGTGGTCTTGCAAGCACATACTCCTGCTCTCTAAGGCCACTCTGACCTCTAGCCTGCTGAGTATCCAGTTGCCAGCAACGGTGACCTACCCTGAGCATCACAATCTCTAAGTGTCCAGCCAGCTCCCTGGTGAGAGGTGATAAGACTGGGCCCCTTCTTTCAAAGGAAGCAAAGATCTATGTTCACTTGGGCAGGCATTGTAGACAGCAGTGCCTCTATCAGCTGTACCACCCACAGTCCTACCTGACACTTTCTATACCACAACACTGCTTCAAACCAAGTGCATCTGCAGAAAACTCACTTCTCTGCTAATGAAATGGAGCAAGAGTCTAATGACCATAGGATTCTTGGGTCCTCCCATGGACGTCATTAGCTGGAAGCAAGCCTTGCAGAACTCTGCTCTGCTCATGCCTGAAGGAACACACACACCTTCCGGTCACAGTGCACAAGTCCCAAAACCAAGGCATCAGGGGTGGAGAGAACATCTCCCATAATTATACCCAATGACCTAGCCTCAAGATCTTTACTTCCTACCATGTGTCGGGGCCCTGGAGATCAGAGGTGTCAGCACCCAGGAAAGAAGGCTTTTGTGAGCAGGTGGTTTGCTGAGTGCCAGCAGGCTATTTGGGGTTTCTTGGGCTGCTAAGGGAATACAGTCCTCATGAAAGTACCTTGGGATACAGAGGGGGACAACCTGTGCGATGTCCCATTCGAGAACTCATTTGTGACGGGGTATGGGCGGCTGGATCTGTGCCCTGGGAGTCTCCTCAGAAGCATGAGTACCTATGTGTGGACAAGCGAAGAGTGTAAATGAGCAGGTCCCTGCTGAGGTGCCTTCCTAACTCAGCTTACCTCCTCCATCTTTGATGATCCTCTGTATACACAGGGAAGCTAAGCAGCTGAGTCTGTGCTGCACGACTCTCAATTCTCTAACAGAAGCCCCTGGACACAGACACCAGGTTTCTGCATCTTCAGTGCCCAGTACAGTATCAGTACACAGAAGCTTGAAAAATACCTGGCCAGGCAGTCAGTCAGATTCCCTGCAATGATCTAGAGAAAAAACAACTTCTAGAGCCAAGCTCTGGAAGCCATCCTGGCTCTAGGTCCTCCTGAAGCCTGGCTTTTCATCTCTCCCTTGGATTCCTTGAGATACTTCTTCCAATTAATTCTTGTGTCATGTAAACTAGTCACTCTTACTTTCAACCAAAAATATTTTTCATACCTACACAGGGCTCTTCTTCTGCTTTAAAAGGAAACTTATCCTTCTCAAATAGGATTTTGTCCCCTTCAAACGACTGAGTAGGACCTCATGGAGCTGGTCAGCTATGACCTGCTCAACACCTTTTGCCTTCCACAAGTGTGTCCTAGACACCTTGAAGAATCAAACCAAAGCTATGAACTCTCTCCTTAGAAAAAAGTAACACACATACAAACACACACACCACTGTGTGCCATTTAGAGGAGTATAAGGACTCCAGGTTAAATATCATATTAAAGGGGCTTCATAGTGGCACAGTGGTAACATGACGCTCTGCGAGGCTGGCTATCACAGGAATGTTCTGGGTCTATGTCTAGATTCCTCCCTAGATATACTGGGTGCACACATGCACATGCACATGATCAGGGCCTGGGTGAGGCTGTATCTTAAAAGACAAAACAAAACAAAACACCTTCCAATTTGGCAGCACCTCACTCCCTCTAAAGGCTCCAACCTGAGTCTCTGACAATGATAGTAGTCAGAGGTAAACTGTGCCATCCTTTAAAAACCCTACCAAGGGGTCAGCAGGCGAGGTGGTTAAGGCACTGGATTTTCACATGGCTGACCATGGTTCAAGTCCCAGACCCAGAGGCTTGAAAATTATGCTGGGTGCATGTGCATGCGTGCCCAGAATCCTGAGAAGAGAAAGAAGGACAAGAGATTGTATCATGGCCATACCCCCTGGAGGGTGATTTCTCACTTTGCCTCTCTGTCTCTCTCTGGTGAGTATACACACCCTATGCCAAAAAACTAAAAAAAAAAAAAAACTAAAAACTAAAATAAGACAAAAAAATCAGGTCATTGGAAAAGTCATGATATATTTTTCTACGCAAAATGTGTCATGATTTTCCAACAACCCAATAAAAGCCCTATTGCATTTGTTCCATCAATAGATGTTGCCACAGCAGGAGCACGGTCTCTCCTGTGCAAGTCTTTAGGAAACACCCTCCATGTGTTTTAAGGAAACATAGAAAGGTCACCTAGTCCTCAAAGTGCTGAGTCCATCAACCCAGTTTTGGCAAATAAGCCTGTCCCTTTGCGTCGATGCTGAGGTTGCTGGGCACTGGTGCAGTGGCTGACATCTGGGGGAGGACTGGTCACGCTGCTTCTTCTGCTGCAACTCAGGCCCTGAAGCAACATCTGTTAGATACAAATTTCCCTTCCTCAAATGTCTCCATTCACAAGGAACCTGGTATTTCATAAAGGCCACCTGCTCTGGCAGCCCTGTGTTGCTAGAAGGGATGAAACTGGAGACCAGAAAGGCATCCTGTTCACGAAGGGCACCTCAATCCTTGGCAGGCAGGTACCAATTCAGAACAGTACATGGTACTTACTCTGCTGGGGAAGGGGCCACATTACCTTTGTCAGCTGCTGCTCAGAGGAAAATCCCAAACCAAACACCGTGTTGGCTCTGCTGTCAGCCCACTGCCCGAACTTCTGCGACGTTTTGGTGAAAGTCATATTCGGCGTGATTGTGCTGTTGATGATCACCTGCAGAAACCAGCCCAAAAAGTGAAAATGGAAACACTGACTGAGACACTACAGTCGCTCTTGGAAGGCTTCTGTCGGCAAAGCTGGTGCCCAAAGCCTGCCTCCTCTGCCTTGTTATATTTGGTCCTGAGTTTGCTTCTTCTGGCACCTCCCATGCTGAGTCAGATACACAACCATGATAATAGGCAATTTCTGAGACTTAACAAAAGGCAGCCTAAAATAAGATCTTACATGTTTTATCAGTGGGAGAGAGTCTCTCCTAAGCAGAGAATAGTTTCCAAAACTGCTATTTATTTCTCCAATACTACCATGCCTCAGAGCACCCACAATGGCTAGCACATTCAGACATTTTTGGAGGAGATGCACTGTGTAGCTTTTTTCATCACCTGGAGGCCCAGTGTCCTCATCAAACCACTTAAAATCTCCATGAGCAACTGGGGCCTGCTGCTTTCCTATGGACCACAGTAGGTAAACTCCAATTAGGATAATCTGTAGAAGGTTCATTTACAGAGAGACTAATTATACAGGTGTGAGAGGGTATATGATGTGGAAGAACCTGGCTGAGGAACCTAGTTATCACTACTCCTTGGCCTGAAAGCATGAGGGGATAAAGAGCCTATAGACCTTGAAGGGGTGGGTCATAGAGAACACGGTGCCTTGAATAAGGAAGCAACCTTTGGTTGAGGACAAAATCAGTACATGGTGACCTCATGGTTGGGGTGGGGAGGGAGTGGGGAACAAATACTCTTGCTTCTCTCCCTCTGATCTCCATTTGCCAAATCCAACCAGAAGCTAGAGGGCCCAGGAGCCATTGATGTCATTTGCAGGTCAGCTGCTCAGGGACCAGAGCAGGGTCTCTGGATATTCTCTTTCATTTACATATGTAGGTTCTGTACTTTTTGTAAAGATTCAAATGGACATTCTAGAACTAAAATATATAATATCTAAAGTTAAGGACTCAATGGATACATTTAACAGCAGACTGGATACATCAACAGCTGGAATTAGTGAACTGGAAGACGGATCAATGGAAAATACCAAATTGAAAGCAGAAAGAACCAAGAATCTGGGGGGAAAATAATCAATGAGAGAAAAAAATGTACACACTCAAAAGATCTAACATATGTAACTGGATTTCCAGAAGGAAAGGGAAGGAAACCGAGTGCAGCAGGAGCAATAACTATAGAGAAAATAATTGACAATTTTCTAAAAACTGATGATGACAGCTAGGCCTATAGCACAGAGGGTAAGTACACAGAAAGCCAGATCCCATATGGCCAGCCATAGTTCAAATCTTGGCTGGCCCCTGTAGCTTGAAAAACAGGTCAAGTGCATGTGCATGTCTGCCTCAAATTCTGGCAGAACAGAGACGGAGGAAAAAGTACTGTAGAGTGGCTATGCCCCACTGGGGGTGGGGGTGCGCTCTCTCTCTCTCTCTCTCTCTCTGTCTCTCTTTCTCGTGAGTGCATACACCCTCAAGCAATGAAAAAACAAACAAACAAACAAACAAACAAAAAAACGATGATGAATCCACAGATTAAAGAAGCTGAATGAACCTCCAAGCAAGATAAACAGATTTAGCTCTTGAAATAGTTAATCATTGATTTGCAGGAAATAATTCATTATACTCTTAAGCATTTACTGGTTTCATGACCTTGAACAAGTTATTTGACATTGTGGAGCCTCAATTTCTCCATTTGTGCTCAGACATGCCAATCTAGCTTACTGGTATGACTTCAAGCTACGGCTACTCCCCTAGTCATATAACGTCCCCTAGTTCTCACCCCAAGGTAGACTCCAGCCTCTAACCAGCTGCCTATCTTTTTTCTCCCCCCTTCTATAGTGTGTGTGAAAGGAGAGGTCAGGAGCGAAAGGGCTGTAATCAAATCTAAGGTATCAGACCACAGCCCATCACTTATGCCCATCAAACTCACCCTACCTCACTCTCTCCAGCCTCTCAAGAGAAGGGTTCATTTACCCACCCACAACTAAGCCTCCCTCAAGCCCCCAGGTCTCATCTCCTGTCTCTACCCCTAAGATGTTTCTCCGACCCACACTAAACTGCACTCATCACCATGACACAGAGTAAATGAAAGATCTGATCACATTCGGGGTACAAGACACTGGTCTTGCGGGAACTCACTAGAATTTTGCAGTGGGGGTTCCACTGTCCTCATTCCCTACTGACATGTCTGCTGTGCTGGGAGATTTGCTTTGATCTTAGTTCTGTATGGCTACCTCTCACTCAGTTACCAGCGTCGAGGTGCCCAGGCATTTACTAACACAACCTGTAGGATCTCACGAGCTGGAGGTCAGCCAGGATGGGAAAAAAGTGAAAGCCCTTTACCATGGTGCTCATACAAACTCTCAGGTGGGTGTCCTGCAGGCTTTGCGATGCCCTCACTGACTCCTAACGGTTTAACAGAGGCTCCAGGACTTCCTAGATCCAGATAGGAGGAAGAAAGGGAAAGGAAAGCCATCACTTATCTTTACAGTAGCCTTCCATGTTGCCAAGAGGCACTAGAGGTAGTTGGTCTGAACAAACTCAGGGCCTCAACAGTATGCCCTCCCTACAGTCACTAAGACAAATGGCTGCCTGCCCTCCCAGGCCACCCATTACACTGACCTTCACAAAAGCGGCAGGAGTGACGGCTGGAAAAATGATGCTGTCAAAAACAGCCAATCCCAGAGTCATCTTCATTCACCTCCCACTAATATGGGAACTCCATCTTGTGCTACACTTGGCTCAGCCCACAGACTAAGTCCTTCTGAAGACATGCTCCTTCTGTGTACATTCCTCGCAGGCTCCTCCACCATTTCTACCTGCTCTTGCACCTGGAATCCACCTTAATGCCTTTGTTTCTCTTTGAGGCTCTGATTCATTCTGACTTTCACTCTCCACGGGTGTGAACAAAGGAGTGAAAGAGGGTGTACTCATATGAGAAGACCTTGTGTGTACTCTGAGTGTGCAACAGTGAGTGCACAGGGCAGTTATGTGGGTAGCAGGGATGTCCTGGGAGTGGGAGTGAGGAGAGGAGGCCTATAAGACTGGGGGAGGTTTAGTCTGGGGTAGGTGGATGGACTCTTCTCTTGGGAGACTAGGGAGAATGAAGTAAAATGGGTTTGAGGGACATTAAGTTAAAAGTTCAATTTCACTAGCAATGTGAAAATTGCATTACAGTGATATACTCAGCAAATTCAAAATATATCTGACTATAACCAATGGTGTGGGCAAGGATATGGGGCAATGGGAGCCCTCACAGATTAAGAAAATCACCCTGGAGTTGGCAGGTAGCATGGTGGTTAGGGTAACTGGAATCCCACATGGTCAACCATGGTTTGAGTCCAGGATCTGGAAGCTTGCTTTCTCTCTCTCTCTCTCTGTCCCTCTCTGGTCAAATTAGAATAAACAATATAAAGTTAAATAAAATAATTCTTAAAGAAAATCACCCTGCAAAACAATGTGGCTTACTTTGACAAAGCTGAAAATGCCCATTCTTGGGACCAGCAGTTGGCATACTAGCTATGTCGCTGGACTCCCATGTAGTCAACCACAGTTCAAGTCCTGGACCTGGTGGCTTAAACTCATGCCGGGCGCGTGTGCGTGCGTGCCCAAGATCCCGAGAGGAGAACAGAGGAGTAGGGATTGTGGTGTGGCCATCCCCTCTTGGGGGATGATTTCTCGCCTTCTGTCTCTCTGTCTTTCTGGTGAGTGCATGTGCCTTATAGCAAAAACCTCTCCAAAAAAAAAGAAAAGAAAATGCACATTCTTATCATCTAACAATTCTACTCCTCAGGATAAACTTGATAGAAACCTTTGTACAGGCGTATGTAGAAATGCACAAGAATGTTCGCAGTAGCAGTGTTTGCAAAAACATTGTCCACCACCAGCAGAATGGATAAGTAAACTGTGGTACAGTCATACAATAAAATGTCATCTGGCAGGAACATTAACCAAGGCTGTTGGCATCAACATGGATGAATCACAAAAATTTAATGTTATGTTAAAAAAAAAAAAAAGAAGTCATAAAAGAACACATACAGTCTTGGTTTTCAGTATAATTCTACTTATATTTAGGTCAAAATCAGGCAAAACTAAATGATATATTATTTAGAACAGAGGTCAGTAAAATATAGCTCTCAGACCAAATCCAGCAGACAGTTCATTTTTTTGATAAAGTTTTTTTAGAACATAGTCACACCCATTCATTTATATACTGGTCTGTAGTTACTTTCTTGCTACCAAAAGACACTACTGTTTTGGGTTGTTAAGAAAGTTTTTTTTTTTTTTTTCGGGACCAGCAGTTAGCGTAATGGCTATGTTGCTGAACTCCCATGTAGTTGACTGTGGTTCGAGTCCCGGACCCGGTGGTTTAAATTCACGCTGGGTGTGGGTGCGTGGGTGCCCAAGATCCCGAGAGGGGAATGGAGGAGAAGGGATTGCGGTGTGGCCATCTCCCCTGGGGGGTGATTTCTCACTTTCTGTCTCTCTGTCTCTCTCTCTTTCTGGTGAGCGCACACACCCTATAGCAAAAACCTCTCCCCCCGCAAAAAAGTCATGATTTTTTTTTCTCTGTGCAAAAAGGTGTTACAACTTTTCCAACAACCCAACAGAATAGGAGAGACCAAAACTGTACAGCTCATTAAAAAATATTACTATCTGGCCCTTAAAGGAAAAGTCTGACAACTTCTGGTTTAGAGATATATAAATGGGTGGCAAAACTATAAAGAAAAGCAAGGGAATGCTTATTAAAAATTTTAACAGACTGGCAATCTCTTGAGAAGTGTATGGGAGGACCCTATAACTAGGGAAGGGCCCTGAAAGGGACCCGAGGAGGGGTAAGAAGGAATGCAGAGGTGATCCAGACATACACAGCAGGGAACCCAGGAAGTAAGAGGTCCTGGGAGACAAGGGCCTGAGTGTAGACAAGGTGAGTTTGAATGCAGCAGAAAGATTCAGAAAGGGGGGCTATGAGTGGCATGGTGGTTAAGGGTGCTGG